CATCCTTCTCCCTCTGAAAGGCTGGTAGATTTTGATTGCTGAATTTTTAGTTAGCAGAACAGCACAGGAAGTAACACATTGCCAAGGCTTCTTGTCATCTTGAATAGGCATTCATTAAATATTACTTCCCAAATTACCAGCACCAGCAGCAGCAGCAATTCTTGAGAACTTGTTTAAAATAAAATTTCTTAGGTTTCAACATGACTTTACAAAATTATTTTAGAAAAGCCCAAAATCCACTTGTTCACAAGGTAGTGAAGAAGGTGTTACCAGAAAGGAAAAGAAGATGGTGCTCTTGTTGTGTATGGCACAAATTTAGCAAAGCTGACTCCTGCAGATACAAGGAAAGTGGCAACTTTGGTTTAGTAACAAAGAAAACTTCCAAAGTCTTAAAAGTATTACTTTGTTACTTCTTGCTACTTTGAGCAAAATGTTAGAGAACAATTAATTGAGCATTTGTGTTGTTGTGTGCTATTGAGTCAGAACTAATCTATAATTGATCTTCCCAGTGGGTTTTCAGAGGCAGTAAATCACACAGGTGGAAACTAATACTTTTTCTCCTTTGGAGCAGCTGGTGGATTTAAACCATGTATCTTTAGTTTCCAGTCAAATTACCTCCAAGCCACAGAGTTCCATAATTGGGGGGAGGGGGGATTGTTAAATAAAAGGAAGTGGGCCTGGATGGTTTTGAAAATCATTTCCAGATGGAAAAAAATGCCATAAGTGAAAAAAAAAAACACCAAACAAAAAATACCCAAAAACCTGCTACTGCTGCAAGTCTAACCTAGATAGACTGCTGAGCATGCAACTGTATAAACTCTTCAACAGAATAAGGAAGTGTCTCACATTCCTCACGTAAATCAGAAGGACTCTAGGACATTTAAGACCGCTGTGCCTCAGCCAATTTCAACAGGTGCTAAAGAAGAAAAGCATCATCTCCAACAGCCTTGAAGGTATGATTATTTTTTTAACTTTTAATTGTGATTTGAATGGAAGCTTATAGAACAGATTGGCATTTCATTCAACCATTTATAAATTGTTTTCTAGTGTTAGTTAAAATCCCCACAATGTAATGTCACCCTTCCTACTGCCTCTGTGGTTCTTGTTTTTGTTGATTCTTTTGTTCTTTCCCTTTCTGTCTTTTAAAATTTATCATCAGGCAAATGTTGCCCTTTTGATCTTATATAGTTTATTCTTCTGAGGACTGAGTGCCTCCCTAGTGTTTTTGTTGACCTCATCGGTATATTATTTGGCTTAAAATTATGCCAATAGGGTAAGTTCAATTCTAGTCCCAAAGGATTGCCAAGATCAAACTCTTGTGGGTTCCACCGTCTCTATAAGACAAGTAAGCCTAGACGTTTTAATGAACTTGATATACACATAAACACACGTATATATATGTTTGTTTTTTTAACTTATTATTAATTTCAATGAAAATTTACAGAGACTTTGGATTTCCATTCATTCATTGTTGCCCTTTTCTCCCCTCCCAACCCATCCCACTAGTACATTACCCTCTTGGAAAAGTAAAATTCTTTCATTGTTTTACAAACCCTCCTCCAGGTCCACTCCACTATGCAGCCTTCGCTTTGGACTCCTAACATGGCAAAAATACCTAATCACATATCCTTTTTAAACAGTATTCTCCCTCATCTGTTTCAATGCAGTATACATTATTGAACCCATTTTCTCAGTCTCCCCCCAACCCCAAGGTCAGTCCTCTTTTATAACAGTGGCACCATGAAGGGACTTATATTCAGAATTTATAAAATACTTGAGTACCACTAGAGAAGGTAAATAATCCAATAGAAAAATGGGCACAGGATATGAACAGACACTTCCCCAAAGAAGACGTTCAGATGGCTAACAAGTACATGAAGAAATGTTCAAAATTCCTAGCTCTAAGAGAGATGTAAATTAAAACAACTATGAGATATCATCTCACCCCAGTAAGAATAGCAAAATTTAATAGAACAGCAAGCAACAAAATGCTGGTGAGGTTGTGGAGAAACTTATTCACTGTTGGTGGGAGTGTAAAATGGTGCAACCACTGTGGAAGGCAGTATGGTGCTTTAAAAAAAAGTTGCAAATAGAGATACCATTTCACCCAGCATTTCCACTACTGGGAATATACCCCAAAGAGACCATAACTGACATCCAAGCAGATATATGCACACCCGTGTTTATCGCAGCCTTGTTCACAGTAGCAAGGAGTTGGAAACAACCTAAGTGCCCATGAGCAAAAGAATGGATAGAGAAGCTGAGGTATATTCACACAGTGGAAAACTATGCTGCATTGAAAAACAAGGAACTCATGAAATATTATTCAAAATGGATGACCCTGGAGGACATTATGCTGAGTGAAGTATCTCAGTCACTAAAGGACAAATATATATGTTTTATATGACATATTACACATATATGTACCTGTCAGTGGACTGCCAAGAAAACAAACAGATTCATCCTGGAGAGGGTTAAACCAAGCTACTCCTTGGAGGCAAGGATTCTGGGGCTTCGTCTGACATACTTTGGGCATATTGCAAGGAGGGACGGGTCCTTGGAGAGGGACATCATGCTTGGGAGGGTGGAGGGACGGCGCAAGAGGGGAAGACCCTCTATGAGATGGATTGATTCAGTGACTGGGGTAATTGGGATGGGTGTGTCAAAGGCAGTGCGATTGGCACAGGATAGAGCAGGGTTTAGGGCTATTGTGCATAGGGTCGCTATGAGTTGCAAACGACTCGACGGCACATAACAACAACAACAGCTAGTGTAAAGATATGAAACTCGAATCCACCAGCTTCTCTGAGGAAGAAAGAGGTACACAACAACAACAATTTATATATATAAACATACACACACACACACACACACACACACACACACATATACGCACATATATGGATATGCATGCATACAAATATGCATGTAAAATATCATGTGACAAACACATGTATGGCCATGAGTATAATCCTTTTCTCTGTCCATATATGTGCATTTTACCTGTTTATCTAAATAAACACTTGCAAGTTGATATTTGTCATTACTGATAATGTAAAACTGTGCATGTATTGATCTATTGTATCTTTATGGAACTAATAATACAAGTCTCAGTAGTTAGTAGAATTTTGAGAATTCAAGAGTCTCTTTTTGATGTATATTCTCTCTGTCCCTCTGTTCCTAACTAAAGAATGTGTGTTAAAACAAACCATTTTGAGTCTTACCTACTATCTTTGATGAAAAAAGTTGAGTGACTTCGAGGTATGAATAAAAACCTGGAGGATGAGGTCAAGATCAGGAGAGATTATTTCTAGGCATTGTCAACTGATCAAAGAAAAAAATGCAATCTTTTCCAATTGCAACACTTTTTTTAGTAATCAAAATGTGGATATAACTGAAATTATTGTCCCAGTAAATGGCTACAAAAATTTGTATCCACAGAGTGAAATGTATTTAGCTATATTGATTAAGCAAATAAAATAGTATATCTTATTCATGGAAGTCAACCAAGGGCACTTAACACTATGTGCTCAATAAATGTCTGCTCAACTCAAAGTCTGCAGTAAAGGACCTTACTAAATCACTGAGGAGCAATGATGTCAATTTCAGGACTAAGGTTCATCCATGGTCTTTTCAAACACTTGCTATCCACCTAAAAGCTAGGCAATGAATAAGGAAGACAGAAGAAGAATTGGTGACTTTGAGTTGTGGTGTTAAGAGTACTGAATATTCCATGACAAAAGACAAAAGGACTTTTCTCATAGGACTGAGAAAAGAATGAACTTATAGATCTTGGACAAAGTACAGCCAGTGTGCTCCTTGGAGGCAAAGATGACAAAGATTCGGCTCAGATACTTTGGCCATGTAGCTAAGAGAGGCTGGCTATTCCTTGGAGAGGGCTACCATTCTTGGAAGGGTGGAGGGTCCAGTAAAGAAAGGAAGATCCTCAACAAGATGGATTGACAGTGACTGCTGCAGTTGGAGTGTGTTAGAGATTGTGAGGATGGCACAGGATAGGACAGGGTTCAAATCTATTCATAGGGTCGTTCTTTTTTTTTTTTTTAATTTTGTGTGCGTGTACCGTCAAATCAGATCTGACTGGTACAGGAGGATATTGCGCCTCCTTCTCCGGCAGAGCGTCTGGTGGATTCGAACCGTGTTCCTCTGGGATTGCACTGCAGCTTCTTACCACTAGGCCACCAGAGCTCCACCATAGGGTCGTTCTAAGTCGAACTTGACAGCATAAAACAATAATATAACACAAAATAAAAGCACCCTCCATTCAGACGGTATCAAAATTTCAGATTTCCCCACAAATACCTTTTTCCAGTAATTGTGTTTGAAAATCCGTAAAAACTGTACTTAGGGACACAATTGCAGACTTTGGCCGTGACCATATTGAAGTGGCATTTGAGAATGACTTATCTTCAAAAGGTCACGTGCCCTTAATAAAAGTTTTTACAATTATTGCTCGTTGATGACTGGCTGCTTTTGCTGTTCACTTTCTTGGCTTCGAAACGCCGTTTCCGTTTTCTTACGTGGGAAATTGAGCTTTGCTATTTCAGTAGGTCAGAGTGGACCAAATCTTTTCGCTGGGCGGCCAGTGAGGCACACAGCAGTGGGCGAATGATTCCAATCAAAAACCAAGACTTGGTGAGATTAGCGCTTCACACCTGAGCGGCCTCCCAGTGCCAGACAAGCCAGGCCCACTTCTTCTCCGCCCGTCATCGGCCCGCCCACTGTTCTCAAACCGCCCAATAGGAGCGGACGCGAGTTCCCTAGAGACCGGGGGAGGAGATGTTAGGGCGGCTGGACGCTGAACGGCCGTTCACGTCAACGCGCTGACGTCACGCGCCCACGTTGAGGACGTACCTGTCGAGCGCTCGACTTTTGCGGCATCTCTTCTTCCGTGGGCTAGGGCCGGTATGGTCTGAAATCCACAACCCTTTACTCTAGAGTCCTAGTCAACCTGCGTCCTGCATTCGGGTTGGATATTGAAGAAGGAGGATGTGTCAGTTTGAAAGTCCTCCTACCTCAATTCCGAGTTGGATCATGGATTCAGTTTTAATCTTTTAATTGGGGAGTAAGATCAGAAATCTTTATTCTTAATTTAGGGTGATACGGGTTGACATTGGGGCCCTTTAAAGGAAGAACGACTTAACTTTATGCTGCTCCCGTGTTTGAAGGAGGACAAAAAAAGTCCCACCTGGCAACATTTCCGTAACGTCTTCAGTAGAAAACACCAGGTATCTTTTGATTCGCGATAGTTTTCGTTATTTGTCCAGCTTGCATCGAGTGCAACTCCCAGGGTTACCTAGGTTTTAGGTCTGAAACAGATGCAGAATCCAAAGGCAGCGCAAAAAAGAGTCACCGATTTTGCTATGCCTCTGAGCTGCGAGGTGAGTTGCATTGTATGACTGAAGAGTTGTGAGCTGTCACGTTCAGATTTTGGGTCACCTACGAGGCCAGTGCTCGTTTCTTGGTTTCTTTTGTAACAGGTATACTTACATGAAGTTAAATCTACACTAACTGTATATAAGGTGAACATTCTTTAAACTTTCACCTATTTTCTCTTGGAAACGTAAACATTTTAATAGAAGGGAAACAGGTTCCAAGAAAAGGTTAATTTCTACCTCAGTGGGTTTTATTTTCACCAGATTTGCCCAGAATTAATTTTCAGTTTTTTAATCATTAGTTTGGATTTATGTGTCTATAAAAATATCTTTGGTGTAATATTTGCTTTGCTTGTTTTAGTCTTAAGCTGTTTGTCATTTAATAGACCCTCAGAAATTAATTTTGCAAATAGTATGCTTTATGTGGTATTTAAAAAGTGTGGAAAAAATAGAAGATAATTATGTATATTAGAGAATGAGATTTATATTTTTTTTGGAAAAAATTCAATTCATGAGACTTGAAGTTTTCAGCAGTGTTTCTATCACATTACACGTATGTGTGTACCTATACATATGAAACTATATATGTTTCAGAGGTTCTGTTCTACAAAGGAACTTTTTTTGAGCCATGCTGTATAGTCACTGCAGCATCATTGTGGCTTTTGTAATTGTTAAATCTTTTCAGAAATATTTTTATTTTTAACTCTTACTTTATAAGATTGTTTTTCTGAGGAAGTCAGTATGCAAATAATTGAACTGATATCAGTCAATTTTACATGTCTTTCTGAGTCCCTGTGAAATAGTACCTCTGTAGTTAAAAAGTATTTATGGCTATTAAAATGTGTGTATATTTATTGTTGATTTTTATCTTAAAAGTGCTTCTCCTGATTTTTCTTAGTGTGTATAGTATGATTGAAAACCATATATGTGACCTATGATTTAAGGCATTTCCTCAAATTGAATATGTATCTATTACCCATGGACCTGAGATCTATTTACAAATAGATTACACCTAATAGAAGAGGCCTGTTGGTAGAATTTGTCACAGATTGCATCTAGAAGATACCTGACGTCCCACTCCCAGCATACATAATACTCTTCATAGATTGATACTTTGATTGGAAAACCAAATCAGATTATTTAGTTTATGATGTCAGTATTAGTGTCATATTGCCCTTTTTACTTTTTTAAACTAGAGTTGAGTGTTTTAGTCTGTGTTTTCAGTCATCTGTAGCTCATTAGGAGTATTATTGTTAAGCCTGACTTTGGGCACATACAGTTGATGAGAACAGATTTGCTGAAGTTATGGATTTGTGTTAGTAAATTGGCTGTTTTCCAGGTCATGTAAGTGATAGATTTCCTACTTCCTGTTGTGACATGTTGATGATAATTTTTATACCACTCAGGAATCCAGGTTTGATCTCTGTGGTGGGTCAGATACCAAACCTGTATCCTGTGGAGTTTGGCCAGGATTACCGCTTTGTGTAACTTTTCAGTTTAGTTTGTAGTCATACTTGTCAGCAAGGATCTACAAAGTAAATGATAAAATGTTAGTATTTTATGGAGTGAATTCTATGGTTCAGCCTAGTACTAAGTGCTATTTTTTATCAAGTCCATGTAATATTTTACTATTTTAATCACATTTTAAGATAAAGAATCTGAGGCACAGAGGATTTAATTAACTTGCTCTAGGTCTCACAGAACCGAGAGGCAGATCCAAGACAGAAGTCAAGCAAGTAATGTGATTTCAGAGTTCTCTCTTTTAATGACTATGTCTTTAACTAATTAGAATTTGAAACACAGGACAGAATAAAAGACATGACAACACCAGAGGTTTATTTTTGATTGTTAGGGTATTCTGTAAAATTAAAGAAGCTATAGAAAATAGAGATACTTATTTTTAAGCCATAATTTTACTGCTCTAAAAATCTTTGGGTGTTTATTTTTTGATAAAATTTTTATTTTATACTGTTTAACTTACAAAGTTCATATACATTGTTTTTCACACAGAATCTTTTGTGTTTTTATGTACACATTTACTTGATTCCAGTCTAATTTATAAATATGTATAAGCACTATAGCTACTGTTTATTTTAATTCTTAAAGATAAGTGTTCAGTTAAATATTAAATAGAGGGCACGTCTATAGGAGAAGCTATTTGAGTTTGTGAGATATGCAGACATTTGATTTCTAAATTTGACTGGAACTAAGTTAAATAAATTTATTCCTTATTCTTATGGGATCATGTTTTTAAGATCTTCCATAGCCGCCTCGTATTAGATTATTATTTTATCTTTGTTCCTTTTTGGTAGGCTAAGCCTTAATTTTTTTCGTTTTAAAATAATCTAGCATTTTAAAAAAATTGAAAAAAATAATCTAGCATTTACACTTTTTTTTTTTTAATTTTATTATTATTTTGTGTGTCTGTGTACTGTCAAATCAGATCTGACTGGTACAGGAGGAGACTGTTCCTCCTTTCCCGGCAGAGCATCTGGTGGATTCGAACGATGCGACTCTGGGATTGCAGTGCAGCTTCTTGCCACTAGGCCACCAGAGCTCCCCGCATTTACACTTTTAATGCTGTAAAACTTTTGTAAGTTTACAAAGTTTTCTTCAGGGTAGAGAGCTATTTCTTTTAGTATGTTACTCTTTTATGAAGAAAAATGTATTACATAATGCCTAATAGTGGGAAATAAAGGATATTCCTTTTTAAAAGAAAGCAGGTTCATTATTGTCATATCTTGATATGTTTATAATTTGTAAGCATATATCTTATTACTGTGATGTTCTCACCCATGTCTCATAATGTTTCAAGAACTTTGGGTCTATTTAACAAACTCCTCAGCTATTCCCCTGTCTGATCTTGATTTTGCTTTTATTTTTAAATAAGCTTTTGGTATATAGACATTCTTTAATTGTGACATAATTGGTTTGTGAAAGTAGGTAGAGTGTGTTAATTTGCCTAACATCTCTATCTAGAATACAATTTTTGAGAGTTTGTGTTTATGGTACTTAAATGAGAGAATTCATAACTTTATCATTGTTACTAATCACTTGTGTGCATTGCTGTGGAATGCTCTCTTAGCTGACCCTGCAGCAGATTTTTTAAAGACTGTAAATCACATGGGTAGAGATTGCCCATCCTTCTCTCGTGGAGACTGGTGAATATCAACAGCCAGAGAGGCACGGTCTGTGGATTAGCAGTGCAGTTTCCTGTGGACTAGGCCACCAGAGCAAATGAGTAACCCTGATGGATTGTTGTTGTTAGGTGTCTTTGAGTAGGAACCAACTCATAACTGATCCTACAGTGAGTTTTCAGAGGCTGCACGGGAGGAGATCACCCCTCTCACCCTTGGAGCAGCTGGTGGATATGAACTGAATAGCTTTGGATTGGCAGCACAACTCCTTACCACGGGGACACCAGAGTAGATTTAGATTTTTTATTTAGAATAAGATGGATTGAAACATTGACTAGGGCAATGTGATCAGCTCAGGACAGGGCAAGCTTCAGAGCTATTGTACATCGAGTTGCTATGAGTTGCAGGAAACTCAACAGCACATAACAACAGATACATTGCAGTTACTGAGGGAAGAAAAATTATCCTGTAAAATTAGTTTAAAATCAGATCGATGTAGTGTTAGAATTAGTTATATTGGTTTTACTTTGAGTACCTTGAAAAGTTTTAAATTGCACCCTGCTCATGTGTCAGTCTTATCAGTAGACCCCACTCAATTCCTCTGAGAGTTAATGACCTTTGTAATCTGTCTTTCTGATGTTTTTATATTTGAGTTCCTGTATTATAGTGTCTTTGAGTTACTTGATCTGCTGAATTATAAATTTTAAAATCTGTGTATGTTTTATTTTATGTGAATGCTTTCCTGTCCGAGAGGCATACAGTATGTTAAAACATGGACTGCTTACTGAAATGTTGACAAATTGAACTTCTGAGGCAGAAAGTCGAGGCAGTTTCCTCTGGTTAAGATTCACAGCTTTTTAATACCTTTTGAATGGTGCCTGCCATGAGAAATGGCAGTGGGTTTGGCCTCATTATACATGTTGTTGTTGTTGATTGCTTTCGAGTTGGGCGTGACTCATAGTGACTGTTTGAGTTTGATATATTTAAAATTGAGTAGAATTTTTAAAGGATATGCACTTTATTGTAATTTTCCCAATGACTTTGAAATGATAGGGTGATTGTTCTGTGTTTAGTTAATTAGCATTAATTGGCAAATGACTACATAATTTTAATTTAGGTGCTTTCTTCCTCCTCTTTTTAATTAATTTTAAAAATGGAGATAAGAAAATACCTTTCCCCTGATATGAAACCATATGGAAAAAAGAATAGGTACATGTTCTCAGTGGGGATTCAGTGGTTCCAAAAGCCTGCTAAATATGTATTTACATTCAGATCTCTTAGGGCCATCACATATGGGTGGAGGGTCTGCGAAGGAGAGAAAGACCCTCAACTAGGCAGATTGACAGGGTGATGACTGCTGCAGTGGTCTCTTGTGTGGCAGGAGATGGTGCAGGATAGAGCAGGGTTCATATCTTTAGTTCATAGGGTCACTATGAGTTGTATTCGACTGGATGGCATCCAACAACAACTAAAACAACAACGATCTTTTCTAAATGCCGCCTTTGATTGACTTTCCAGTTTCTGTATGATCAAGTATTTTTTTTTTTTTTATATAGGAGAAACTTTAGAATCATTGATAGTTACCTTTACCTAGTTCTCCGTCTATTCCAGATATAAATTATCCTTTATGGCCTCTAAATATGTCAATTCTTGTTTTCACTGTGACTTTAGATATTTCACATCTTTTAGATGTTTCTCCCCCTCCTTTATTGTTTCTTGTTAAAATAGTTTTGAAATGTTCTTAATGGTATCCCTGATTTTACTTCCTCTTTCTGACCTATTTCTTGCACAAATACTATTTACTTAGAAAATAGCTTTGCTTGCATTACTACTTAGTTCCGTCTTAAGTTCTTTTGTAATTAGGCTCTA